TTTTTTCTCTCACTTCCTCCCTCCCTCCCCCCCTCTCCCTCCTTGACTTTGTATGTGTGCGTGCGAATAAACAACTAGTCATTCCGTTATGCATCCCCGATGTTGGCCACTCATTCACGAGGGAGGTGTGTCAATCCCTTACTCCATTGACGATCGGCTGCCTGGTTGACTGCTTCATCCCACTGCCTACACATGAACGGACACGCATAACCACACACTCCAATCCCCATCCACCTCCTCCACAAGCCTCTCGACACCTCTACCTCCATGCCCATATTCCATTCAAATGCCATCGCGCCACACGAGAGTCACGTGAACAACCAATTGGAGTGAGGTCCTCTGCCCACCATGATGACAGTGCAGCACTACAATACACAACTCCGAGTGTCATGCACTGTGGCACAACAATTGCTGGCATCTAATCGCCGCCACCACCACCACCATTGGTGGGTAAGGATTGGGAACACATCGACAACAATGGCAACGTGGATGGAAAACAATTGATAGTAATTATCTGTCCCTTTCGGATGACAAATGAGGAAGGACAATGGACGAATTAGCAGTGACAGATGCGTGGTGCGCAAACGATTCGCATGAATGAGGAGGTGTCACAATCGACACTCCATCTTCCATCCTCTCTGAGCACACGCGTCAAGCAATGCTCTGCTCCACTGCCTTCGTTCACAACAGTAATGGTGGGTGGGAATGAGCACAGGCCTCCTCTCTTGTGCATGAGCTCCGAACTTCACCCTCCAATGAGACCGGTCACAAATGTGCACGTGGTGAGAGTGTCACGTGTTTTTTTTGAGCCGCCAACTGATGGATGTCAACTTGGAGTGAAGTGAAGTGAGGCATGATGGACTGGAGTTGAATGTGGTCAGATGGCATTCCTCCAACCAATTCAATGCCTGGTCCATTCATATTCTGTGTCTGTGCAACGAAAATAGGATTGGAGAGGTGGAGAGTGGAGCAGATGCTGTCAGCAGAAAAGGGCGTACGCCTCAACATTCTCCTCCTCTGCATTCCCCTTCACCTTCTACTTACCTCTCTCCCTCCTCCTCCTCCTCCTCCACATCCCCCTTATTTCGTCTCTCCGTGCCACAGCGACGACCATGTCGTTCGCCAATTTGAGGCGTCTGCAGAGTCGTGACGAGGGTACAAACTGACATTGTCTCCTTTAACAAGGCCATGCACGGTAGGTGAGGTGAGACATTTCCCACACTCACTGGTCATGCATTTACCATGTTCCCACCACCATTTAGCCTCGTTCCACTTGCGGTGATGACATTCGTTGTGCACACCTCTTCGACTGACTGAACTACCAATGCTAGTTGTGATGTGTCTGCCCGCTGCCTGATCATTTGGCACTGTAAGGCGAGGCTAGACGATACGTGAATGGGCTAGACGGAGACGTTGACGGTTGATGTGGTGGTGTCAGTGTGGGGTGCGGATGGGAGTCGAGCGTGTTTGAGTAGGCGAGTGAGTGACAGAGGACGCTCGTGTTGGATGTGAGCATGGAGAGCCCACCACTCATTCACAACTGTCATTCTGAGTGGTACATTGTGTACTTGTCTGGTCGGGCTGCCCGAGACTCCTGTCGCATTACCTCATCCTCTTCCTCTCCTACTAGCAGTCAACTGCTGCCCACTACCCATCGCCTTAATGGCTATCAAGAGAAGTTGGTGCGCATTCACATGCATACAACAGGCAATAAATAAATCGAGGTTTCGGCACACACCTCAATTAAAGGTGAAAAAAATTGAAGACACAGGGCGAAATGCATGACTTTTCACTTCTACGTGTCTTATTTTATGCTTTCGGGGTGGCGGATTTGGTGACAGCGAGATGGAGAAGGCAGAGTTCGAGGTGGAGGAGATGGAAGGGCGTAATTTTAAACATTTGACTTAATCAGTTGAAGTTTGACACACAAGTTTGAATTAAATTGCCGTTGGAAGAAGTTCAGAATTGCAGATGAGCACAATCGCATAGTGGTTACAATTTCACTCGTGATTGCCAAACGGCATCATGACAATGTGTTGATGTCAAGTAATTAGAGGACAAAATTTGACACGATTTCTGCCTCCTAAAGACCACGACATCTGTAGATCTGCACTGTTAATTCCTAAATGCCAATTTTTGATCGACAGAGATCATATTCCACCCATTTTTCTGCTAATTTATACTTTAATTATAAATTTCGCAGAAGCAGAGCATTACCCTCACAACTTCAACTGGAAAGAGCCTTCAAAGTAATGGAACTCACTGTATGGAATGGACAAGGGTTAATTAGAAAGGAACTGTTTTGTTAGATGCCACCCGAGTTAGATACTTTCATATGTGGAAACACTTAAACTTAGCTGATTGGTTACAGAAGTGTCAAGTTGTGTCAAGGCATTCGAGTTTATGGAAGTGAGCAAAATGGAAAGCACATACCTTTCGACGTGTTTTTCTGCTGCATTGACGCACGCTCCAGTATGCGATGTGAACCCTCACAGACAGCTTTGCCATACCACCGGAGCCGAGGGTTTCAATGACAAGCAATTCTTAGCACTGTAGTCAGTCAACTCTCTTTGTTTAGAGGCTTCTGTAGTCACGATTAGATCTCTCCAGGTTTCACTAAGCCCCTGTTTACAGAAGTTTTCCTTCTTCAATACAAATTATTTTACGACCGCTCTACTTCTCGATTTACTGACTCGGAAATTACGGGATTATCAATGGCCCTGTTGACAGATGCTATGGAATGACCACATCAAAACGAAATAAATACTCTTAGTCGAGGATTCCGATTTAATGAATTCAGAAGTGGGTGAGCAATGGCCTGATGTTTCAAAACCCATTATAGTCTATTGTTCCCGACGAATGAGAGATGAGCTAACGAAGAGTGGTTGAACAAACTCACATTTGTTGACGTCTTTAGCTGAGTGACGCTTGCCAATTTCAGCCAGAGAGCGGATGATGTGCAATTGCTGGCCAGATTTAGCGCGTCGTTTCTGACGAGTGTAGAGAGTGCTGTGATGAAGCAGGAGCAGCTCGCGAGTCTGGTCTTGAAAACCCGGTTCCAGCATCTTCTTTTTCACCATCCGTTGGACTACCTCATCTACAAAAGTATCCACAAAAAACGCATAAGCCTTTCGTCGATCTATTACATGTTCCATGAACCCCTTAAAGGATTGTCAGCTGCCCTACCACTTGGTCGACCCAAATGTCCATCTATTCACCACTAAATCCCTATTCATCGGACCTGGGAATTGAATTTGGCGCTGCTCAATGTAGCCACTTATCTGTGATCTACACATGCTCATTGCCCCACCCCTCGATCCTACAACCACCATTTCATCCACCTACTCATCAATCACTCAAATCACACCCATTCTTTATTCCATTCATTTACCAAGTCGTCGTCCAACCATCCATTTGTCTGCTTAATTGTCAAGTCGTTCCGTATCTCATTCCAACATCAAAACATTTGCGCATTTTACCACTTCGTCCTACGATTGATTCAACAGGCTATTCTCTTAACTACTTAAGTGTCCATTCATCAACAAAAGTGCCTCCGATAAAACAGTCATGGTAAACAGATTGATTGTAAGGAACCTTCAAAATGAAACATGTTGGCTCTAAGGTGGCAAAGTACAAACTTGGAATCCATTTAATGCCTTTAAAACTGCCAAAGGCATCGTCAAGGCTTGGGCATTACGAACTGTACCATTTCCGCAATTTAGATAGTACAATGAAGTTCTATCATCTACTCGATGCATCACCTTTCGGCCCATCGAAACATGCTACTGACAAATACATTTAAGTAGCAAGGAAGCATAGAATTGACAATGGCTGCAGATCGCATCACTTGTGGAGGTG